CATGAAAACAGGGCATTACAGTAGTCCAAGCGAGATGAGATGAAAGCATGTATAATATGCTCAGTGTCCATAAACGACAAGGCTGGTCTTAGTTTTGCAATGTTTCTAAGTTGGTAAAAGCATGACTGAACCAGTTTTTTAATGTGCTGTTCAAGGTTTATATTTGAGTCAAATAAAACTCCAAAATTTCTTGAAACAGAGTTAAGTTAAGGAGCTAAAGACCCTAAGTTAGATTGAATTTGTTTTAATGACGGCTCCGGGCCAATGATAAGGACCTCTGTTTTCTCAGAATTTAACTGGAGAAAGTTGTTGGACATCCAAGATTTAAGGTCATTGATGCAGTCATGCAAAAGAGCCAACTAACTAACATTATCAGGCTTACATGAGAGGTAAAGCTGGGTATCATCGGCATAGCAGTGAAAAGAAATGCCATGCCGACGAATAACATGGCCTAATGGCAGCAAATACAATGAAAAGAGAATAGGCCCGAGGATAGAACCTTGAGGTATGCCACATTTGATTAAAGATTTGGAAGATACATGATCACCAACCACGACAAAGAAGGATCTGTTAGACAGATATGAAGAAAACCACTCCAACGCAGTCCCAGAGATACCAACCCAGTCTCAAAATTTGTCAATTAAAATAGAGTGGTCTACAGTGTCAAATGCTGCACTGAGATCAAGTAAGACCAACACAGAACATTCTCCTGCATCAGCATTCAGTAAAAGATCATTCATTACCCTCAGGAGGGCAGTTTCTGTACTGTGGTGTTGTCTAAAACCAGATTGGAATTTTTCAAAAATATTGTTTTTCTCCATTACATTGAGAAGTTGTGTATACACCACTTTCTCCAGAATTTTGGAAATGACTGGCAGTTTTGAGATGGGTCTAAAAATTTTTAAGACAGAAGGATCAAAATTTGTTTTTTTACGAATAGGGTAAACACATGCAGTCTTAAAATAGCCAGGGACACATCCAGTGCAGAGAGAGCTATTTAGAATAAACAGCAGATCAGGGCCAATAGTCTCAATGACCTCCTTGAACAGACCGGTGGGTATGATATCTGAAGGACAAGAGGAAGGTTTCATATGCGATACAATGCCTTTAAGATCCATCAGTGAAATTGTTTTAAAAGAGCTCAATAAATTGAAATTCAAATTTGGACACTGTATCTCAATGGGAGGGGCAGCCAGGGGGATTGAAGATCTAATATGGTCAACCTTTTCAACAAAAAATGACAAAAACTGCTCACTATCAGCCTGTGATGAAGCAGAGGCACCAGCAGTTGCAGGATTAATTAGACAGTCAATAGTTTTAAAAAGAAACCGAGAATTGTGACAATTAGTTGCAATTAAATCTGAAAAATAATAGCATTTTTTATCATTGCATTATAAGAGGCCATTAAATCCTTCATCTGCTGGTAATGAACACGGAGGTTTGTTGCTTTCCATTTTCGTTCAATTTTCCTGCAATATCTTTTAAAAGAACAAGTGTCATCATTTATCCAGGGTGAGTTGGTAACCATAGACTTTAATTTTGTTTTAATTGGGGCAACTGAGTCTAAGGTCGTTTGACACATGCTATTGAACATTTTTAACATCACATCTGGGTGAGAGGTTTGCGCAAAATTTGCACTTGAGCTCATAAAAGCAGAGGAAAACTTCGATGCAGTTTGGGAATTAATGAAGCGAGAGCGAACTGTGCGCTTTTCAACTATGCGAATAACGGGGAGGAACACATCAAAGATTAGACAGCGGTGATCTGAAATGCACAGGTGCTGCATGGTGAAATTACTTAGACTCAAGCCAAGCGAGAACACGAGATTCAATGTGTGGCCATGATCATGAGTAGGACCACACACATGTTGCACAAAACTGAAAGACTCAGTGATGTTTAGAAATTCTGAAGCTAGGGGATTGGATGCCAAGTCATTATGCAGATTGAAATCACCTGCAATGATGACTTTAGCGTATTTGAACATAAGAGAAGATAAAAGATATGAGAACTCTGAGAGGAAACAATTATTTGATTTGGGAGGTCAGTAGACATCACACAGAGAATGGGGACGTCATGGCTGAAAATAGTGAACATTAATTAACTCAAAGGACGTGAATGGACCAAGCGATACCGGGGAACACCTCCACTGTTTTTTAAAAATCACAGCAATGCTGCCACCACGGCGAGATTGTCTTGGTGCGCTCATAAAATTGTAGTCAGGTTTCAATGAGCGTAGCCTGTTCATCATTCTTAATCCACGTCTCCGTGAGTAAAAAAAATCCAAATCATAAATACAGATTAGGTCGTTAATAATAAAACTCTTGTTGGAAAGAGATCTCACATTAAAAAGTGCTATCTTTGCTCTAGTACTGAGCGGATACTGGTTCGTCAAGGGAGAAGGTTTAATTAACAGGAGATTATGTGGATTTGACCTCTTAGTTCTGACTGACGAAGACCTGCGCAGAGTAGTGACTATTTCTATGCATTTCACCCCAAGAAGCGACCTATTTGCAGTGCACATAACAGTAAAATTTGCATCGCGAACAGCAACTCTAGGTTAATCCAAGACTTTGCGGCATGCATCAGCAGCAGGGTTTAGCCAAAACGTATCAAAATTGTCAATAAAACATAAATGCTCTCTCTCACAGAGTGTTCTTAACCATTCATTAAAAGCGTAGAGTCTACTAAATTTGCCATAACCACGCCCGATGCAAGGAAGAGGGCCGGAGCTGATTAGTCGTTTATTGCTTGCACTTAGTGTGGAAAGTAGCGTGATATTATTTATTGACACAAATAAAGGATAATCCCAGCCTAAATGCACAGTCAAATGGGGAATCTTCATTCAAAAAGGAATCAAATCTTTGAATAGTTTGCACTTGGTTCGGTGTATTGCTGAGGATCCAAGGAAGTACAAAGTCATGTACAAAGTTGATTGGCCGAGCAGTTCTTGAGAAAGAAGCAAGCAGAAATACCAAAGGCCAAGCAATCGGCCCGTTATGAACAGGCACATTTTTAACGGGCACTGTGCTAGTTGTTAAAACAAGCAGAGAAAATATGTCTTCTGACGAAGTAATTTTGATCGAGCATGATCAGATGTATTATTTTCATCAAATCCAGTACTTTTGTTTCATTCCTCTGGTGTATAAAGACTAAGTCAGTCATCTGGCTGGACGACAGCTGACTCACCATTCAGCCAGTGTGTTTTGCGATGCTATGAAGAGTGAAGGATTCTCAGAACACACATAAGATCCCTCTTGTTGCCCATAGTTTGGATGGATTTCTAATTGCTCTGTATCCAAAATTGACAGGACAAGGAATAGAAAATTATAACAGTTACGTCACCATGTTTGTCAAGCCAGAGATAAACCATTGAAGTTGTGGCTGCATTATAGGGGCATAAGCTGTGCTTGCAATACCCTTAACTTACTGCTAGTTCTTGGATGGCTTAGTTTCAAAATGGTTTCAAGCACTTTTTCTCTTTACTTCTGTGGAACAGCAGTTGCTGTGAGTGCACTCACCTCTGTGAAGAGTGCAGAGACATTGAAATCAAAGACTGAAAACTCATCCAGCTGTCATTCTCAATCAGTAAAGTTTCATTTTCATCTTGCTGACTGGCAAAATGACAGAGAGACAAACAGCACACATATTTAAACTCGAAGTATCATGATGACCAGAAAATGACCACTGATGATGACAGCAGCGAAATGCACTTGACATTGTAAGGCGATACATACTGCATTCATTCGCACAATACCAGGGAAAAAAGATTCCAATTTTTCAAATTCCAGCACAGAAGATAAATAAAAAATGGATCATTCAATTTATTTCTGGTTTAGCTGGCATCACACAGCTCTCAGTATTAACTCCAGAACGCTGACTAGGCCGATATAAACCTTAGGCCAGTACCTGAGACAGTTTATGAATTATGGTGGGTTTGCACAATCTAACACTCATAACTGAGATCTGGATCCTGCCCTCCTTCAGGAATGTAAAAACAAAACGTTAGGGAGGGTTCTGAAATTTTCACGTGAACTGGGGATTTCTGAATGTAAGCATTCAATAGAGCTTACCCATCCCTATCTGCAGTAAAATTGTACAACAAATTTGAACATTGCAATGATGGCGAGCAACAGAATAAAGTCAGGATGCTATTTAAGCCCCTGCCAAAATAATATCTTTAATCTCAAGGACTGGGGAGAATCAAACTTGGGCATCTAGAATTGCTATCCGTTGTCTCTTAACTGTCTGTAATGGGGCCTACTGGGAGAAAATAAACTCCTCACTCCCAAATTTGAGCCAACTGAATTCTGGCCAGAAAATACATGGGGGATATCTAATTGATATCTAATTGGAGGTTGGCCTCATTGAAAATGCAATATTACAGTATGTGTGGGTGAAATCTCATAAGCCCATCGCACATAAAATCATCACTTCCAGTGCAAGCTTCTGTTCTTGGAGAACTTAATCAACATGATTAAGTTTGATTAAGTGCTGTCTCTCGCCCCTCTCAACAGGACACCATATTTATTGTGTGTTCCAGGTTCTTGTTTTTTAATCATTTTCATATTACAGTTGGTCCTCTTACTGTACACCCATCATATTATATCGAGGGCTGCCTGCAATAAACAGTTATGTCCAATGTAAAACATCTGGACATAACTGTTTATTGCAGTCAGCCCTCGATATTCATTAAAAATGGTAATATTTTATTCTAACTGGAGACATTAATTGCCCACAGGTATTGCAGTGTGGGTAAATTGTGTGTGTTGTGCAATTGGCTGGCAAACTGTCCAGGGTATGTTCCTTCCTCTTGGCCAGGATACCAATGCTGGGATTGGCATCGACCCGCCACGACCCTGATTAAGAATAAGTTCGTTAGATATTGCACAGACGGGTGGAAAACTGTGATGTGGCATAGGCCATATGTGACAGTTGAAGGGTTCTGTCACTAGAAATGCCTCCTAATAAGTAAGTGCCCTGGCTACCTTGCTAACGAGCCTGGCTCTTTGGTGATGTGATCAGCACATTTGACTCTTACTTGGGAGACTGGGGTTCAATTCCCCGCCTGGGCCCTCCTTCGGTCTGCCACACATACATAATGTAAAAAACCCACCCAACTTCATATGTTATCTCTTTCCTAATGGTAAAATTTTGTCTCCAGGGTATGAACTGCACTGTATCTCATTGAATACCACATTTAAAGGGGACCTATTATGCTACATTTCCAAGTTTATATTTTGATCTTGGACTCCCCTAGAGTATTCCATATCGTTCAAAGTCCAAAAAAGGGTTCTTATTTAGCTCATACTGCCATCCTCAAAAAACCCCATTTGTAGTCCATTGCAGTCTCTACCTGAAACGCCTCGTTTCCGCTATGACCCCCCCTCCCCGTGAACCCACTTTCTTCTGATTGGCCAGCTCTGTGGAGGGTGGAGCTGGGCAGGACTCAGCAGAACGCAGTTTTCCGGGTCCGCCTCCCAAGTGTGAAACATGCGACGCGTCTGCCATCTGAGTTAAGGATTCAGCTGGGAAGTGCCGCAGTAAAACTCTGTACAGGTGTATAGATCTAATGAAATGAACTTGTTCTAATAAACACAGCGGCGAAAGTGGAGGACGCAGTGCGAAAGTCTGGCAGCTCAAGCTTGAATTTGCTATCTACCTACGGCTTCTATGGTGAGTACACCGGTATTTCCACTCTATAGCTAGGATTGAGGGAAAGCTAGAATCCACCCCATACAGACACATTTGTAGAACGGGTCGACATACCCAAGTGTAGACCGGAGACCGTAGAAATCCGGTGGGTCTGAGTTTAGAGGGAAACATGGACAGTGAGGAGCAGCAAAAAGTGAACCAACAACTTATAGACTGCTTAGGTGTGTATTATAAGGACCTGCTGGTTCGTGTGCATAACTGTGGTGTGTCGTTAGCGTGGAGTAATGAACAGCTTCTGCGCTGGTATATGACAAAGGGGCGAAAGTCCCAGGCTAAATGGCCTTTTCGGAAATTGTCCGTGGTAATGGTTTACTTATTGTGTCCGAATGACCAGCGTTTGCTCCCGGAAAATGGGCGCGATAAGCTGCTTCCACACTGGACGCGAAACAAATTTTTCGCATGACCGATTACATTCAAAGTAAATGCATTGTCTTTGCATTGACTTTGAATTTGCTATCATGGTTTCGCCCCACCTGCTGCCGCGTCCGCCACCGCGTCCGCCACTGCGTCCGCAGATTTTAGCCGTTAGCGCAATAACTCTCAAAATACTTTACATTGGCTTCTCATTTTTAGCATATGGGTAGATATGGTAGAGAGGATGAACTGATTATATTTTGGGCAAGTATGCACTCCTAGGTTTGCCACCAGGGGGCGCTATATATTGAAAAAATCTGTTTTTTAACCACATCTCTGGAACAATTACTTACACAGACCTCAAATTTGCCTCATATTGTAGGTCTAGTAAAGGGGAATCTAATAAAGGGGCTTCGAGGATTGGGGAATTTCGGAGATTTACCCCTGGCAGTCGGCCACCGACAGTGTTGGCCTAGTTAGACAATTGGCTACTCAATGGCCTGGTGTTATTTTTTTCTCTCAGTATTTAATTTACAAATGAGCAGATAAAAGGTCAAGAACTATTTCATATACTACGTCATTTGCATTTAGAATCTGGTGCAATTACCTCTAAAATGCTTCGTCATATTTACTGATGATGTGACTGCAGACAAATTCTGAATTGTATTGCACTGTTTTGTCTGCTCGGATTCTGCCAAATGCTGCCAAATGCTTATAGTGCCAGATAATGCAGAAGGACAATTACCTGAAAGAATGCCTGAATATCTTTAAAGCAAAGGAGTAGAATCTTTTACAATGATTGACATGGAATGACCACCTTGTTATTTGGTACATTTGCCATAAAAGGATGATCTTTCAGGTGGTATTGGTTATTTCCTGTTATACCATGATCTGGGTGAATACTCTTTCCTGATTGACAGGCAGGTATGCGTTAAAACCGTGGAACACACAGGTAGTTTGGCTATGGTTGTTTCACCGTTCATGAAATTCATCCACTAGCCAACCTGTAACCATAGCAACGTTAGAGAGGGTCGCTGTCAAACTGTCAACTGTCAAGAGCAGAGCACAACAAAACACAAATGGATGATTTTGACATTCTTAAACTTTAGATTTCAAGTGCAAACCTTTCGCCAAAAATTTCTGAATGCTTTGATTTGATATTGCTGGCAAATGACCATGGTATAAGTGGGATAATAAGTGTGTGATGCACACCTATGAGTTGATTATCCCTTGTGTACTGCATGTCATTCCTTGGCAATCTGCCCCTGAAATGATGTCTTAATGATTTTTTTTCATATTTAAGTATCTATATATTCAAAAACTTTATATCAATGAAGAAATTGCCTCAGTCATGAGAGAGTACTATAATAGAGCTAACAACATTTTAAAAATTAGAAGGCCTTATTTGATTCAGTCTGGAGATAATGAATGTCAAAATTGTTAAAATGTGTGAAAGTTGCACCTTTCACCCGAAATTTACAGTGTCATAACTTTGCAAATTTAAAACGCCGAGTGTTGTTCTTCGGTGATTGATAACTGCAAACAAAAAAGTTCTGCAAATTCCATGGATTTAGCTTCTATAGTTTTAAGGCAGGGGTCACCAACTCCGTCCCTGGAGAGCTACCATCCTGTAGGTTTCTGCTCTACCTCCTATTCAGCACACCTGATTCAATTAATTAGCTACTTAACAAGATCACTAAGCTCGGCAATTGAGTGGCTAATTAATTGAATCAGGTGTGCCAAATAGGAAGTAGAGCAGAAACCTACAGGATGGTCGCCCTCCAGGAACGGAGTTGGTGACCCCTGTTTTAAGGTTATGAGCGTTTGAATATTGCATTCTGTCAGTAGGCAGACAATTTCTGTAATATTCGAGTTGAAAATTTTTTATTCCATAATTTTTTATTCCATATGCATAGGTTAATCGTTTCCTGAAAGTTTGAAGCAAATCTTAGATTTGAGTGAGTTTGGAAATTTTTTCTTTATGACATGACATGGAATGAAATTTTTTCTTTGTTGATTTGACATTAAAATTACCCTTCAGAGAGTCATTACGAACTGCCAAAATGATTTGTGACCAAGTATTCAAAATGATAAGTAATGATTATGTTAGTGTGTCCAATAACTTTTGAGTCCCCATAACTTGGGGGCTGTGCATTCAAATGGTTGTAATTCTTACATGGTTCATACAATATTTTGGACAAAACCTTTCAAGTAAAGCTGAAAGTCTACGCTTCAAGCACATTTTCGATTGATTCCGCAAATCCATTCTGGTGGTGTACAGAGCCAAAATGATGCATCTTGTGTCACCCTCCAAATACATATGGACTTAACACGCTGGTTTTAAGAAGCAATCTTAAGCCTCGGTCACAACCGGACGCACGGATTTTTTTATCGTGCGTTCTCTGCGGTTTTTGCCGGTGGTGAGAGTCATAGAGGATGTGGAGGTAAAAAAAACAGTAGCAGTCAACTCGTAAGGCGGGAGTAATTGTGCCGTGCTACCCTTGAGGGTGACATAAGCAGTTTGCAGCAACACTCTTGCGATTTGGCATGTGTGTGCTTCGTAGAGGTAGTAAACAGGACGTGCGGCAGTCTTGCAACAGCTGCGCACACTTTTCTATACCCCAGCCATGCTCGGACGTTTTATTTATTTTGTACAATGTGTGGGCGCCCGCCTTATTTCACACTCGCGGGAAACTTGCGGTCGACTTTATTTCCATGACCAGTAAAAAACGCACGTCTGACCTGCGTGTTCCTCGCGTGCTCCTTGCGTCGGGAGCAAGGGAAACTTGTGTCCTTGGCCTTTCCCTGGAAATTGTAGAGTTTTTTGTGCATGATCAAAATCCATCGTACGTGCTTACATGCAGTCTGCAGTCTCAAAATTTCGCAAGAAGAACCTGCGTGGCCCGTGAGTTCCTTGGCGTTTTTTGCTGCAGATACGCTGTGGAGTGGAAGTATGGCCGGTTGTGACCGAGGCTTTACATTGCTTCGGTAAATGTATAATGCTGATTTGGAGGGCTTTTACATGCAGTTTTTTTTTTCCCATAAAAACGCCCGCATGCACATACACATGCACACTTACTACCAAAACTTTTCTGTAAGACAGAAATGTTTTTGGGGGCCGACAAGTACGCACGCTGTCGTACTCTAAAAAACGTACACAGACTACTGACACATTGCCGTAAACCTTTTTTATTTTTCTTTTTACTCCAGGGGCTGACACGATCAGCTTAGATGCCCGGGGGTGAACTCCTACTGCTTTAAGATTAATAAAATGAAGATCATGAAAGACGTGATCGCCTTGAAGTTCAAAACCTCGAAGAGCGACGGCATCATCTCACACGCCAAAGGCCTGTAGAGTGACTACATCACCCTGGAGCTCCGTTGAGCCAAGCTGGTGCTCCTGATAAACCTGGGTAGGCTTCCGCCCTCACGCTTCATTTGAACGTCTGTGCACGCGTCCATCAAAAATCAGATGGAAGCTCTGGCTGTCGACTCATTCTTCTGAACTCAGAGTTAAAAGTCTTTTGGTGTTGCACTGAAAGGCCTCAGTGATAAAAGAAATAAAGTTAAAATTAAATTTCTGTCAGCAAAGAAACAGCCTTTCCTCACATCAAGATGAAGCTTGATGCCTATCTGGCATCGACTTTGAAAAATTACTATTTCCTGGAAAATAGAAGAGGGAAAAGTCATAGCACCAAAGAGTACTAACCAGGAAGCTTATTGTCTGATTGGGACTGCTGTAACCATGGTAACACTAACTTCAATTCACAGTCCATTTCACAATTTAGCTACAATATAGAGCTGCTGTTTAAACCTTAATTTCTCTGTATTTCGGTGAATGAGGAGAGCCCTCGTTGGGATGAGATACCATGTTCGGGATTTGTTTATTTTATTTATTTATTTTCAATACTAGGGCTGAAACTTGTGCAACTAACTCTCTGTGACTGCAGGTAGCAATCAGTATGGCTCCATCAAGGGGCATACATCAGTGACAAGCAGAAGTCTGC